GGTTTAGGGTTTAGGGTGATGGGACTTGGGGTCCGTTTTGGGTGTTTAAAAACCAAAAAAGATACGGACTACTTGAACCCTCAAAGGATGGGGGCGGGTAGGAATCAAGGCTTTGGATACGAAGACCTACCGCTTCAAGGGTTGAGGGCTCTGGGGCTTGAGGGTTTAGGGTTTTAGGAAGTAGGGTGTCGGGTTTTGAGGCTTTAGGGCTCAATCTGTGGAAACGCAAGCCTACCGTTTTAAGGGTGATACCGTATACTGCAAGTAAGGAGACATAACCTACTCGGCCAAGCCTTAGGGAATCGGCTTTGTGTTTAGGTTTCAGGGTTGTTGGCTTCCAGCTTTGAGGTGCTTTAGGGTTTAGGGTCTAAGATATGGGGTATGGGGGGTTATACAGGCTTTAGGAAAAAACACTTCCCATGCGTCCCAGCGGGCTTTGCGTAAATGCCGGTTTAGGGTTTAGAGCAGGAGGAGTCGGTCCGTTGATGAACGTTAGAAAAGTGATGAAGATGGACACTTGAATGCCGAAAGTCAGAGATTTGTGGGATTCTCCCTGACCCTCCCCATCCCCTTTAAAGCCCGATGCATGCCCCGTAAACCCTAAACCCCTTAACCCTAAACCCCCTTTATTTCATGGTTCAGTTGGGAGGCTGGGATGTGTGTAAGACGTCGAGTTCAGTGATGTGATTTGTTGGGTTTAGGGTTTGGGGTTTAGGGTTTAGAGGGGTTTAGGGTTGTAAGGGACTTCGGGGTTGTAGGGTTTAGGGGTTTAGGGGTTTAGGGTTTAGGGTTTAGGGTTTAGGGCTGCAAAAGTTCGCAAGGCATGGTTTTGCAAGGGCATGGAGCGGTTATCCTACGCCCTGCAACCTAAATCCTAGACCCTATAAGCCTAAGCCTTAAACCCCTAAACCCGCAATATAGGGGCCTTCATAATTAGAATAGGGTTTGGGCTATACTGTACCATGGTTATAATAAGGAACGTCCAAAACCCTATTCTAATTACTAAGGCCGCTACATTAACCCTAAAAGAAGGGTCGTAGGACCCGAACCTCTGGTCCGCATCCGAGAAAGTAAGCCCTCTAGGCACTGTCGGACAGCCTCGTCGACAGAAAGATCGATGCCATGAAGCCCCTGGCCTGGCGATCATTAGGATTTGCTCATTGTTTCCCTTGTTGCAGTCTTAGGTTCCTTCTGATAAATATTCCCTTTAGGGTCTCTTTTCGGATTCCTTAAAGGGATCTATAAAGGTTCCATAAGGTTTAATGCTTAAGGGTCCATGTACCCAAATAGTATATGCTTTGGCCTTAACGTAGTTCCTATGTAGGTACTTTGGGGCCAAGGTTATACTATATGGGTACATGGACTCTTAGGGATCATGACGATTTGATCACTGTTTCCCTTGTTGCAGTCTTAGGTTCCTTATAATATAGGGGCCTTAATTAGAACAGGGTTTTAGGGAGTTCCGAATAAGGAGCCCGCAAAACCCTATTCTCATTGTTAAGGCCTACATTAGCCATAACCTTGGAACATCATCACCCCCATGGCGTAAAGGTCAAGTATCGGGAATTCCAGCGCTTATCCTCCTAAATGCATGTTCCAACTTTCTGGATTCGCTGTATGTTACTCGAGTTGCGGCACTCGAAGCGAGGTAATAAAGCTAGATCGATCCAAGAGCGTTGGTAGTTTTGTGGTAATGACTTTAAACCCTAGTAGTAGTCGTCGTCGCCCAAAATCCCTATACCCTAAACCCTACAGCCAACCCTTTTGCATGCGAGCCGAGGCGAATTCTAGCAGCCGTCTCCGTGGGCCGAGATGCACATGCGCTCTTTCCAGACGTGGCCGCTCAGCCAAAGCTCCAGCGTTGTTTAGGTTTTAGGGTTCCTTTAAGAGTTTAGGGCCAGAAAATCGTCCATCCCAAACCCGAAAGCCCACAACGAACCGTGGTCCTAAACCTAAACTACTACCACTGCAAGAGAGATGGGCAGCGACTGAGAGAGCCTGAACCTTGAAGTTCAGAATGTTGAGTCGCTATCGAGCCCATCAGCAGCATGCAACTGGGATCAGCACTCATGCATGCTGCTTCAGTGAGATGTGGATCACTACACCAAGCTTGTTCCCAGTGTACACTCTAGAACCTTTGCCGACTAAAGCTGCAGGCCTTTAGCCTGAACTGGGCTTCGGTTTGGATGCCACTGTAGCGATATTCCGGTCAGTGTTCCACATATTGTTATGTGGATTATTCAGCTTTGATTGAGACTGTAAAGGTCTTGCCTTGTCCGTGTCTAGATCCGCAATATTCACCGTCGATGTACACGGACATGCTTGCATGCATACATACATGTGTATGTTGCAATGTCTGTATGCCTGCCTGCCTGTCTGTACGTATGTATTCACTATGTATGTCTGTCTGTCTGTCTGTCTGTCTGTCTGTCTGTCTGTCTGTCTGTCTGTCTGTCTGTCTGTCTGTCTGTCTGTCTGTCTGTATGTCTGTCTGCCTGTCTGTCTGTATGTATGTATGTATGTATGTACGTATGTCATGTATGTATGTATGTATGTATGTATGTATGTATGTATGTATGTATGTATGTATATATGTATGTATGTTCGTACGTATATATGTATGTACATTTGTACATATGTGTATCGAAAATTGTTTTTCTCTCCCTGTATATACTCATACACACACCCACACATACACACATAACTTCACAATTCATCGATGTACCGATATGCAGTTTTATGTACACATAATTACACGTATGGTTTTCACATGTACACACACACATACATATAATCACGCATACACGCTTCTACCCAAGTTTATGTACCTGCCGGCATCATACATGGGTGGTTGTCAAAATTATGGTCCCTTTTTGGGGCCTCGTTATAATACGGCACCTAATATTTAGGGTACCCAAAAAGGGACCATAATTTTGACAACCACCCACATGACTGGCATAATTGAACCTGGACCTGAAATCCGAATCACATTGCAGCCGAGGTCAAGAACGTCTCATTCCAGCCCGGGTCTTACTGCATGGCTTCCCCTGAACCCTTACCGGAAAACCCGAGCTTCTTGAGTTCGGGGCATGTGCTTATGGGACAAGTGGATCAGGACGAATGATGGGCACCATTGTGCCTCACACCCAAAACCAGCTCTAGAGAGCCCGGGGCTGTAGAGCCTGATATAGCAGATCTCTTGTGCTCAAACTAGCCTTAAGGTGTGAGTCTTCGGAGCCTTAGGCAGCCGCCATGCCCAACTGCAACCCCTGAACTCTAAACCCTAACCCTAAACCCTGAGCCCAAAGCCCTAGATTACGCAACCCTGAGCCCGATAAGCCTTGAAAGCCGCCTACATCCAAACCCGTCGCTAGCTGACAAGGTCTCCCGAGCTCAAGAAGCTCGTGTACATTTACCTCGTGCAGGCTCCTTTAGGGGTTGAGGGTTTAGGGTTTTAGGGTTTTAGGGTTTTAGGGTTTTAGGGTTTAGGGTTTAGGGTTTAAGAGCTTCAGGTTTTCCAGGGTTTGGGATGTTGGGTTTCTGAAAAGTTCGGGGTTTTGGGCTTCAGTTTCCGTATGGGTTAAGCGCACTCAGGGCTTCGGGTTTCGGGTTTGACTGATACCATTTCTCAGCTCTGCATCCTAGACCTTGGCGGATGTAGAAAGGTTAGACAAGTGCCCTATTAGGGTCTAGGGTTTAGCGTTTATAAGGCTAGCGTTTATAAGGCTTAGTCAGAAAGGTGCCCCATTAGGGTTTAGGGTTTAGCGTTTAGGGCTTAATCAGCTTAGCAACGTGCAGCACTTACCTGCCATCACCCTAGTTTTCAAGAATGCACGAGCTGCGGCCCATGAGCCCTACACCCCCTCGACCCCGCCCCCTGTAGACCCCAGTCCCTCAATCCTAAGCGCCTACCTCAGAATATATCAACTCTACCCTAATTTACAAAAAAGCTCCACAACTCCAAAAATAATTCCAGAACTGATATTAACGAGTCGCAAAAAGTAAATCCTAACACCCTAAACCCTAAGCCCCCAAGCAACCTTAAAAGAAGCCCTAAACCCTAAACCCTAAACCCCAAACCCTAATCCTGAACCCTAAACCCTAAACCCTAAACCCTGAACCCTAAACCCTAAACCCTAAACACTAAACCCTGCAACGCAGTACGCGGAGAACAACCGAGACCTGACTCTCTTAGCCATCAACAGCTTCCAGAAGGAGCCTTGTCTGAGCGCTCCCATAAGCGCCTTTTGGGTTTAGGGTTTAGGGTTCAGGATTAGGGTTTGGGGTTTAGGGTTCAGGGTTTAGGGTTTAGGATTTGGGTTTCAGGATGTAGGGTTTGGGGTTTTGGGGTTTAGGGTTTGTGATGTAAACGGTTTCGAGAAGGTGCTAGAGACTTTCTTAGAGTGCTTCCTTTATAAAGGCTTGTAAGAGTGCTGTAGGGATCTAAACCCTAAACCCTAAACCCTAAACCCTAAACCCTAAACCCCTGTAGGGATTTCGGGTTTGGGATTTTAGGCTTCAGGTTTAGGGCTAGTCGAGGTTGGAGGATTCAGGGTTCAGGGCCTAGGTCTCGACCACGGTTTAGGGTTTAGGGTTTAGGGTTTAGGGTTTAGGGTTTAGGGTTCATGGCTTAAGTTGATGGCTCTGCAAAAGTTTAGGCTTACGTTTTGGAAGTTGCAGGATTCTTGGTTCTTAGTTCAGGGTGTGGGTTCAGGTTGCCGCTGCCGGGTGCGAGAATTTGGTGACCGTGATGATAGCCGCGAGTTGTTGAAGATTGCGGCTGTCTAGCACACGGGTGGTGTTCTCAATTAGGGTCCTTTTTCGGTCCCCAATGTAGTGCGGCAAACTTATACAACGGACCCAAAAATACAAAACTACCCATGCAGGAACTTGGGATTTATTGCTTGTGCATTTGGAGTTTGCATAGACGATGGATTTAGAGCTTCTGGAGTGTACTCGAGGAACTCTTGCTGTGACTGTACATTTCCCTTGGTTCCGGGACTATGCCCCTAAGACGCCAATCAAGTGCACAAGCATTACCCCTTAGCCTAAACCCATAAACCCAAAACCCATAAACCCCAACCCTAAACCCTAGACTTCCAAACCCTGAACAAGAGACCGTACGCCAAAATAGACCCCAAACAGTGAAACACGAGCCCAAGCGTTGCATTTTGAGTGCTACCCCTTTGTGCTACACCTATTGGGAGTTATAGAGGTTTAGGGGTTTGGGGTTATGGTTAAGGGCTTGTACTACTATACAGAATCTATTGTAGTTCCCTTTTTGGTTTTAACTTATATATATATATATATATATATCTTGTATTTAGGATCCCATACGCTAACCCAGAAAGGAATTGCAACGGAGACGACAGGCATTGCTTTGGAAAGTACCGGCTGCACGTCGTCGAATCTACACATGCTTTGGGCTACATGAGGGTGTTGAGATACATGGGTTTAGGGTTTAGGGTTCCGGGAAGCTTTCTACACAAAAAGGTTACCGACGTTCTGCAGTGCTTATTTGGGCAAAATGAACTTTATCCGCTTTAGGCTTCCCTAAACCCTAAACCCTGAGCCGATTTGGCCTAGCAGCAGCCGTTATAGAACCCTTTCAGGAACCCTGTAAACTGAACCCCCAAAACCCTACTCTGATTATTAAAGCCCCTACATTAACGTGTTAGTTTCAAGGGGTATGAAGGGGTCCTAGCCTCGTGCCCCCGAGCCGGGGGTCAGCTAACCCGCCAAGAACAGATATTTAGGGTTTAGGGTTTAGGGTATCCCTAAACCCTTTTCACCTTAAATCCTAAACCCTAAGCCCTAACCCCTAAACCGTAAGCTTAAACCCCAATAAACCCCAGATAAACCCTGAATCCTCACCTGCAGGATCTGTCCGACCGCTCACAGCAGGCTCCGTGGATTCACCATTGCCAATTGCAGTCGATGGAGCCCAGACCCAGAATGAAGGAATAGACCTTAAATTATATCAGGGATCCTGCTATGATTTATGGGGTATAATATAGGGGGCCTTAGGAATGATAATAGGGTTTTGAGGAGCCCGTGATTATCGAGGCCCCTATATTATGTGCCTGTATTGCTTGGTTAAGGGATATTGGAAGGTCGAGCACCTGGTTTCGGGTCCAGGGCGCAGGGTTCGGAGGTTGAGGGTTTCAATTAGGGTTTAGGGTTCAGGGTTGAGGGTTTCAATTAGGGTTTAGCGTAGTTTAGGTTTTAGGGTTTTCGGTAGTTTAGGGCTTATAGGCTTTATAGGGTTTAGGGTTGTAAATGCTGTCCTCTCAATACGAACCTGCAAGAACACGACCTTAAACCCAAGTGCCGATAATTATTGTGTACTTCGGCCCTCTTGGAGGGCTAATTATACTCTCTACCATAGTCGACGCGCGATATAAACTGAATACCTAGTTCAATTCGATTCTAGTTTGGAGGCATCCAGGTTTAGGGTTTAGGGTTTTTGTGGTTTCGAGTTTGAGGGAGTAGGGCCTCAGGCTTGTAAGGTCTTTGGCAGCTTGTATCGGCCTTCAATTCAGACTTCGTGAATCCAGGGTTTCTGCCCCCACAAAGCTAACTACTACAACCTTGGTGTTCTTCTGGTTGGCTCTTAGGACGTTAACTTTTTGGGTTTCTATATGAACTATAACAACAAGGAGGCTAAAAGTTTAACTTTAGGAGCGGTTCAGAAGTCAGCAAAAAAACCTTAGGTTTTGGGTTTAGGGTCTCGCGATGCGAACATGAAGCACTCTGGTTGGCCTGCAACGTAGTGGGATCTGAGTAGAGCCCGTCTGTATCGTGAACTCCCGTTGTCGATACGCCCCCGCCCCCTCCGGCACTGCAAACCACACGCAAAGGACAACCCGTCAAGGAAAGTCCACGCAACGAAACCACTTCAGATTGCGTTGACCAAAAGCTTCGAGATTCGAAGCCTGATAGGTTTATGCAAAGAGCCCAACACCCCTGAATTGACACAGTTTAGGGTGTAGTGTTCATATTAAAACTATAACCCAGATACTCGAACGAGGTTATTCCGAAAAGAAAGGTTTTTTTGGCTCTCTGAGTAATGCTTACCTAAAGCCCCCAAAGTGAAACAATGGCCCAACATCCATAAAAGGCCGCTAGTCTACATACTTTGGGGTCCAAGTTCTTTCACGAAACCCCGAAAAACCTGAACCCCAAACCCTAACAGCCCTAAACCCTAAAATCTCTAAACCCTAGGCCCTAATCCCTAATCCCTAAACCTTAAGCCCTGAACGCTTAAACCCTAAAACCCCAAACCCTCTCTTTCCCCTGGTAGGTGCGGGCCTCCGCTTTGCGGGCCATGGCCTCCATCAAGGTCCTGGAGGTGCAATCGGGCTTTATTGACTTTTAGGGTTTAGGGTTTAGGGTTTAAGGCTTAGGGTTTAGGGTTTAGGGTTTTTAAAAGGTGATATTGAGATATCATATACATATATACATATGCATAGTTATGTGTAGTTATACATGTATATACAGGAAATGGCATGTGTGTGTATATATATACACACACATATGTGTTCGTTTGTTTGTTTGTATATTATACACATACACACAAATAAATGTATGTATGTGTCTGTATACATATATATATATATATATATACATATCATATACGGAAGTCATAGTAAGGAATCCAACGCAGGTAGTTTATTTTGAGTTCAATGTAGGTAGTGCTTAGTCCATCAAGGTCCTTTAGGCCCCAGCCGGTTTACGTATCCGGGATGCCTAAATGAATATAGAGCAGGAAGAAATGGATTACTGTCGGCTTGTACCTGGTTTCCTTTGGGGTGATAGAAAGGGTTCAATCTAAGTGGTTATATGCTATATTTTAATAGGCACTGTGAGAGATTCTTTGAGTGTTCAGCTGTTTAAAGTTAAGGGTTAGAGGGTTCAGGATTGAAGGATGCCTGCTTAGGGCTCCTTATTCTGACGTAACCCTGAACCCTAAACCCTAAACCCTAAACCCCTAAACCCTAAACCCTAAAGGCCCACGTCCTGAAGAAGTGTAGAGTTTGTGGGTTCAAATCTTGGTTGAGGGTGGAAGGGTTCATGATTTTTCAGGACGCTTGCAAGGCGTGGGAGTTGGGGTGTGGGTGTAGGGCCAAACCTAAACCCCAGACCTTAAACCCTAAATCCTAAACCCTAAACCCCAAACCCTAAACCCTAAACCCAACACAAAAAAAAACTAAAACCATGGGCCAAAGGATTCAGGGTTTGGGGTTTTTTCGGCTTTAGGGAGTTCGGGTTCAAGGTTGGTACGGGTTTTATGGGAGAGTAAGGCTTGGTTCACGCCTGCTGGTCGAAAAGTGGATGTGCTTGTCTTCAGTCTGTGGGCCTAGATCTATAGTAGACCCCATAAAGTTGGAAACCGGGTTAAGGACAAATAGTGCTGGGATTCCCTATACATTACTCTTAAGGATGGAGGCTGTTGGGTTTCCAACTTTTAGGCTTCTACTGTATGCTATGTTGATGTCATCACGGGGTTCTGTTCGGGCTGTTCATGAGAATGTGTGGAGCTCCTTTGAATTCGGATGCGTGTGTGTTTTGGGTGTTGTCAACTTGTTGTGGGTGCAACGGTGGTGCCGGCATCCAAATTACTGATCGTGCTCTAGGAACTATGATAATTCCCGTCGGCTCGATTCTGACCGTGAGGGTTCATGGCAAATGCAGTTCACCCTGGCCACAAGGTTGTTATATAAATGAATAAATAAGTATATATATATATATATATTTATTTATTTATTTAAATATATAGGAAGCCCGTCAAGGCCACAGTATTACACGTAGACCTTTCACGGTAGGGCGTTTTGTTGATAGCCTGTTTTATGGTAAGGCTCCATATAGTACGCAAGGAAGGTAGCCAAATACAGCATTTCTTTCTCTTTGGGATCCAGGCAGGCGAGTTGATCCTTCGGGCTAGGCAACACAAGACTGCGCCGACGCGTTTGTATGCATCAAGCAGGTGATTCAAGTCGTCATGGGCGCAGTCACCACCGCCGCCAGCGACAGCGGGGGCTCCAAGCTTCCTGCGTCAGAGCATGTGGGTGGTTGTCAAAATTAGGGTCCCTTTTTGGGTACCCTAAATATTAGGTGCCGTATTATGTTACGGACCCAAAAAGGGACCATTTTTTTGACAACCACCCATGTAGCAAGGGTATCATCGAAACATCGCAGTGTTTCTAAGATCCTAACGGCCCAAGCCCTGGAACCCTCAATTCTAAAGGCCCACAAGCCTAAACTGGAAAACTCGGGAGACTGAGAACTAAAGCACACTCTAAACCCTAAGAACCCAAACTCTAAAGCCCTGTAACGCAACTACCCATTCTCTACCCTAAGGCTCTTATTGCTGTTATGGGCTTTCTAGGGGAAGGTTTGGGCTTTGGGGGCTGAGGTTTTGGCTTTCACTATGGGGGTCCATGAGCCTTAGGGTAAACCCTAAACCTTATAAACCCGAAGCCCTAAGCGGTTATCAAAGAATCAGCGGACCACACTCTAAAGCCCTGTAACCCAACTACCCTCTGTCTAAGCCTTCAATCCCGGGGAGATCCCTAAACCCTAAACCCTAAACCCTAAACCCTAGGAATCCTTAACTGGGTTCTTGTTAAGGGATTTAATTTAAGTTACCATAATAGGGATCTATAGTAAATAATATGGTGTCCTTATTATGGTAACTTAAATTAAATCCCTTAACAAGAACCCAGTTAAGGATTCCTAGGGTTGTGCGACACTTTCTGCAAAACTCGCTTTCAGCCACAAAAACAAAGGGTAGAAATATGTAGACGGGCATGTCAACCAACATGCACGTGTTTGGAGGTATTCGCAGGGGCTTTTTTAGGGTTTCCGGCGGTAACTTCGGGGTTTTGGGGACTTCATTCAGGGCAGTAGGGTCTATCGCCGCGCAGAGGATGTGTGTATACGTGTATATTTATGTATGTATATATATATATACATATATATATATATACATGTACATATAGACACATACACACACACACACACGCACACACATACTTCATCCATTTCACCGTTGTGGAGCCGCTCCTGCCGACGATGTTGCATCCAGAGCAAGATTTCGCCGATATGGGCACGGAGCGCACTGTCGAGTCTCTAGAGCCCCTACCTGAACCCCAAATGACCTACCCTGTTAAGGACTTATATAAGGAAATCCTACTCAGGGGCGCTGAAAAGGTGGGTTCAATCATAGGGCCCAGGTAAGTCCTCAAATCGGTTAACCCTAAACCCTAAATCCTAAACCCTAAATCCTAAACCCTAAACCCTAAACCCTAAATCCTAAACCGTATAAACCCTGAACCCTAAAGCGGCTGGGACTCAGGCTGGGATCCGAAAAGTTCAAGGGCCGCGGGGTTCATTAGGGCTTGTACATGGGTAGTTTTCTGAATTACCTGTAGTCTCAATTGTAGTTCCATTGTTTGGTTTAACTAGTTATATATTAAGGGCTTTATAAGGTATCCCCAAAAAGGAACTACAACGGAGACTATAGGTAGGGTGCACTTTTTGTGGGTCCTAGTTATGAGGGTGCCGGAGTATATGCAGTACTATACTTGGGATTTACAACGGGGCCCCAACTTAGAGAACTACCCATGTGTTTGTTTTTTAATTTTGTTTGTCATGCTTGTATTGTACAATGTAAGGACATTATAGCTATCATGCTACAGCAAGGGGTATTGGAGCTGTTCAAGTAGACGTACGAATACGAAACACAGTGCTTGGATTCTTCGGGCTGATGTCCGAGTGCTTTCGACAAAGGCTCACCATATGTTCGCAAGACCGCGGCGCAGTGCATGACGAAGGCCAAGCTTATATTTGGTTCTTGTTCTGGAGTCTGGGGGTTTTGCCGGATTTCCGAAACTAGGCACCCAGACCTCCGAAATAGCCAAGCAATTGCTTAGGGTGCAATCCCGACAGTCCGACAGTCGAAGGTCTAGGAAGTGCCTCTCAAGGACCCCCTTACGGGCCGAACTGGGGCCTTTGTTCTTTTGTGAATGTACCCGGTTTAGGGTTTGGGGGTTAGTGTTTTGCATTTAGGGTATATAGATTTAGGGTTTAGGTTTTCGTCTCTGCGGATTGAACCTATGCTCAGGGGGTCCGAATGTACTACGGCTCTGCAGGACAAGAACAGAATCCTCTGTAGGACAAGAACAGCATCGTTTTATGGTGTGCAGTACCTTGTCACGTCTACAGGACCCAATGCACAAGTATTTGGGTTGAGGTAAGATATGTGGGCTGGTATCGATGGGATATATTGATCACAACTTGCTGAACCCTTGTAGTGCAATTTCACAATGGTTGTTTTATTTAGTCTCATAATAGGTTGGGTTTATCAATCAGAGGTCTACGTTTCGAGGTTTGCAGGTCAAGGCGGGGCCCTGAACCCAGGGGGCTGATTTCTATTACTATCTTTTGCAATCGGGTCTATATGGGTTCCAAGCGAGTTTTTGTTAAGGCTAGGTTTTGGTTTAGGGGGTCCAGGGTTTACCCATAGGCCCCATCGTAGTTCCTTTTTGTGGCTTATATGTAGGATCCTATTAGGTAATCCCACAAAGGAACTACTATGGGGCCTATGGCCTATGGGCAGGGTTTAGGGGCGAAGGCTTGGGATGGGGCAGTTGGGGCTCTTTGTTCCCTCAACTCGAGTCCCTACCTGCAGCCCCAAGGCCCAAACCCCTACGAAATGAGCCCAGAATATTTGGGCTACGGCCCATGCAAAACAGAGAGTATTATACGGCATAGCCCTCAAAAATATGCTACAGCCTGAACGAAGGCTAAGCTCTAAAGGGGAGGCTTGCCATCATGCCATGACCAGTTTGGCGCACGAGTGCTCGAATTCCACTCCAAGAATTAATGTGGCGGCGCAAATAATAACATGGGATCGAATAATGCGTTTTTT